TAAATTAATTTAACAAATAAATATTTTGTTAAATTTAAAATATTTACACATTTAATACTTGAGTTTGACTATTAAATTAAAATATAAATTATTTTGATTTAAAGTAATTTTGTTAAGTATTCAATCGTAAAATTTTAAACTTGAAAATCACATTTCGAGTTTATATTAGTATATTTTATATATCAATATATTAATAAAAATTGAAACCTTTAAAACTTGGTCTCAAATTTCAAATTTTTGTCGAGAAAATCAAATCTATTTATAATACAAAATATATATATATTTAGAATAAATTCAAATTTCAAACCAGTTTTCATTAAACCTCCTAAACACCAGGTCTTGTATATTATTATTTTATATTTATTATTATTATTTTTATTATAAGTTATTACTGTATTATTATTTTGATGATGAAAACAATGACCAATGAAATAGTTTAAAAGATTTAAAATAATGGACAACGAAAAGAAACAAACATTTGGTTACACGAAATGTGCACTTCATGTATACAGTGATGCTATGTTTTAGACAATAACCTAAAATTACTGGAAATTACTGTTTTTTTTAGGAGACACTGCACTGGCAGGTCCTCCCCATCGCAGTACTCCTCCACCCGCACGAAGATGACTACAATTTTTTTTCGCATTGTTTTGTTTTGGTTATACTTTTTAGTTGTTGTGACTATAATTTGACTGCAAATTCACTTTTACAGTAGATTTGAGACAAATCACAACTTTTGGCTTCCTTTCCATTTATTTCTTATATTTTTCAGAGAACTCATATAATATTAGTCTCGGTGTTGATCTCGTATTGTAACAAACTTTTTAACTTTTCAATTAATTTCATTTACCTTATCATTCAATTAAGTTAAATGATTTGAGAAAAACAGACAAATATTGAGTGTTGAAACAAAACTTGATTTTTATTTCAAACAACTATTCAATTGATGAGTCGATGTGTAAAAATTGTATGAAATGTGCAAAATGTTAATGAATTTAATAGTTTGGATGAGTATAGTATCGCACCTGAAATGACTGAAATCTCTTTTCTCTCATATGTCTCGTATGTCTCGATTAGTGAAGCAATTGAAGTATAAAGTCGTGACCTTCTCTTAGTGTTAGTACTGTTGGCTCATCAATGGTAATGACAGCCTATAATCAGGGGTTCGTCTCTCTCTCTTTCTGGGCTGAAGACAACATTTCAACAGCACATGAATTACCTTTTTGTGGGCATTAAGTCTTACATTATTTTAAACATTAGCTCACTATATGTTTGATAGTATGTAAAGAAACAAACAGCACTTATACGGCAATATAAATATAATTATGTTTTAAAACACAAAACCATCATTTAGTAGATCCCATAGACATCACAACACACACACACATACAGGTATATACAGTGTATATTGTGTATAAATGTATAGTTACATACAGCACATGATGGTCATACATGCCATTACATCATACACTCCAAGTCATACCTGTGCCACTCCAGTACTCCAGTCTTAACATACAATAATATGCGCAATGTTTTTGCAGTTTGTTTCAGATTTGCTCACAAATTGCTATAAAAATGAATTGTTTTTCAATTCATTTCCAATTTTCTCTTCTCTTATCATTTGTTTCTTTTGTTGAGATTTAATAATTTTTATGTTTTTGTTTAGAAGGACTTCCTCTACAAAAAACAATTTCATTTCAGTGGTCACTCAGTATCTCTTGTAATTACAAACACATGGAGTGATGAAAACAGAGCAAAACATAGACAGCACAGACCTCTCGCGCACTCAGAGGCCGTATATATCTCGCAATAGGAGTACCTATGATTAGAGGCGATAATTATTAGGACCACAATTGAGTGCCATTGCGTTTACTGTCAATTCAAATGATCGATGAAAGCAAAGACTAGTATTTGCCATTCAAACGGATATATCGTATCAAAAATATTCAAAGCAATGTCCATAACTAAAGGGCTTATCTCTAACTTATTGATGTTTTTCACTTAATTATTATTATATTTTTAAATTATTTGGCAAAACTAAAAACAAATGCTTCAACAAAAAAATATATATAACAATAGTTTGTTTAATAATAATTTATGAATTTCTACGGAACAGCTAATATGATATATAAGTAAAAATTTGTAATCATTAGATGTTTTGCCAAATCTTTGATTAGTGGTGTATCAGCACTGGTATGAGTTAAGCCCTTGTGCCGGGTATGAGGTCTGCAATTAAACTGACAATAAAAAATTAAGTTCAGTCCTCATGAGCCACGAGTTAAGTCATCCAACAAAAAGTTACAATTGGGGCGGCTTTTGATAAAACAGTAATCATAAAAAAGTACATTATATTAAACTATTAGATGAATATAATATTATATGTATGTTGTGTGCGGTTTGGAGGCACAGGCACTGGCATACAGTGCACTCATTGACTAAACCAGCAAACAATTAATCATCGTTTTTCAAGACCCAGACAATAGCCATCACCTGTTTGTGGCAATTGCTCTGACACTTATCAGACCTAAAAAAGATTGGTTTTAATGAAATTAAACTATAAATCAATGGATTGCAGTTTACTGAGAGACCAAAAAATTTTAGACTTATTGTTTAGATATTAATTGAACGGCTTTTCATTGCTATAACAGTGATATATAATATTTCTTTTTTCATTTTACTATTTAATGTTATTTTTCATTTTGCTTTTTGCAGACAAAAGACATTTCTAAATCAATATCTAATTAATATTGCGGTAATTTTTTTATTTTATTTTTTTTGATACAAAACTTTTAGTATTCCTAGCGTTATATTGATTGAACTTTTGCCAAAAGTATGCGCCAATTGTTTTGCTTTGTTTGTCTATCAAAAACATATTAAACTATTTTAATAATTTAAATAATATTTTATAATTTATATTTTATTATTATTATCATTCTATATAAATAACAATTGTATAACACATAATATTGCAAATAATAATAATATTCAGCTCTAAATTGTTATATTAAAAATAAAAAATAAATTAAATAAATATAATAACTTCCCTAAACTCAAATTATTCTGTATTATTATTTACTGTCAAATTATTATTTTATATTATACAAAATTTGAATATTATTTTAAATTTCTCAATAAATTTTTATACAATATTCATTAATCGATACCTATAACTTATAAATTTGTTTAGTTTAAATATACGACTAAAATTTAATTTAAATTTTTATTTAAGACAAATATAAATAATGAGTTAAAAATACAAAAATTTATAAAATTTATAATTAAGATTTATTAAAGGTTGCACTTTATTTTAATTTATAATAATTAAAACTTAAATAACATTTAGAAAACAATATCTATGCCAAAGCTGTCGAACATTTACTGACATCTATTGACAATAACATACAAATTGAAACAAATTATATTTTTACAAAATGTTTTTTAAAAAGTTATATAAATTTCTTGTTTTTATAAATAAAATACAATAACTAAATATAATTGGGTTTATTTTAATAATTTGAATAACCTTTTTTTCAAAACTATAAAATTACTACAATAATAGTTATTAATAAATTTCAATTATCATATTTGATATATTTTAAACTTTGACATATATTTATACATTTTTTTATTAATTCACTTTAACTGTATTCATAATATAAACATAAAAACTTAATAAAAATTATAATAATTCAATAATTATAATATATAATATACTATAAAATATTAATTATAAAATAATAGGTAGAATAAAATCTATATGTATAAACTGTTTAATAGATTTTCGATAAATTATAAAATGTTTTTAACTAAAATAATTCTTACATATATTTAATGAAATAATAGATGTTTGCGTGACTTTTAACATTAAATAATACAAATGTTTTGCAAATTGTTTTAGATTTTTGATTGATTTTTTATAAAGAAATGTAAAAATAATATACAGAATTAGAGTTATATTTATAGATTAAATATAATGTTAAATGTCTTAAAACATTTACAATATTTAAATTACTTTGAGGTTTTCTGAAATATTATTAAGCATTATATCATATATCGATAATTTAATAAAATTTAAATTACTTCTAATCTCTTTTAATATACTTATAATATATTTGTGAATTCAATATACAGTATTTAAAATGTATGTCAATATCTTAAGATTTATTGTAATTGTTTTAGAAATTATTATTTTAAGCAAAACAATAGGATGTGTTGTTATGATTTCTCCTGCAAATGAAGGCAAATAAATTAATTTTGTTATATAAGTATATCAAAGCAAACATAGGATTTTAATTTTAAATACAAACTTTTTTGTAGGCGAATCACTTGTAATCTCAGTCCAATTATTTGTTGACAATAAGGGCGAAATCAATGTTAAAGATATGGCTAGTTTGACTGTCAATACATAAAAACTGTTAAAAATATTATTGAAATCTATGTTTAATAGGATTTTCGACTCGACTACTATTTGAAACATGAGTGGAATATTTCCAAACAATTTTGTAATTTATATTTACAAAAATTGAGATTTGCTATGATTTACTTGAATACATCCGAAGGTATGTTTTATTTTTATAAACTTTTTTTAGTTATTAATTAAATTAACCCATATCAATTTCTATATTCTCTCTCTCTTTCTCTCTCTCTCTCTCTCTCTCTCAAAAATTAACAATAATAATATATAAGTGTTAATCAACTGATTTTTCAATAGATACGGCTGTTATACAAACAGAAGATTTTAAATATTTTTGGGTTCCCGATGTAATAAATTTATGTTTTTACTGTAATTTTATTTTAATTATAATATAATATTACAGACAATTATGACAAACTCTAAAACTGAGAAAGTGGTTACCAAAGCATATAATACTCAAGTTTTGAAAATTAAAAATTATGACAACTATTGTTACTTACAATATATTACAAAGTATTAATATATAATTAAACTAAATGACTATTTTTTTAATAAAATATTTATATAATAATAATTAACAAAAAGGATGGCATCAATCGTGAGTTGTCCCATGGATTTTCATAAACATCCAAAAGAGACTTTCAATTGTCGGCTTAAATTCAGAAGCTGTTCGTTACTTAGATTTTTTAAAATAAAATTTTAATTATAAAAATTTTAAGATAATGTTTATTATTTTTTTTATAGATACCTATCCATTGACCAAAGTTATCTATAAATGGCATATTCCTACACCTATAGCACTTCATCCACGATTAAAACTTTCAAAACACAAACTTGATATTAGCTATCAATCATTTAATATCTCTACTTTTGAAGGTTTAAAACTTTAAAACTGAATTATTTAATAACATTGTTTTCAATTATAATTAATTATTTTGTAGGATATTTTTCGATTATCCAGGTCACATTTACATTTAAGGAAATGATTGCAAACAAATTATTTCACGTATATTTACCCAGTTTTATCATTGTCTTTCTCAGTTGGCTTTCATTTTGGTTACTTATATATTTCTAAATTAATAATTAACTTTTTATTAATTATTATAAATAAAATTTAATTAAATTATAGGATATCATCGGATACACTGCCGGCTCGGGTGGCGTTATGTGTGATGTGTTTGTTAGCAATTAGTGCACAATCTGTTGGCGTCCGACAGGAATTACCTCGAGTTTCATATATAACTGTTAGTTAATGTTATTATAATTTAATTGATTTAATACTAAAAAAATATTAATTAAATTTTATAGTTAGTTGATATCTGGCTATTGGTATGATTTTTCTCGAAATTAAGTTTTATTTATAAATTATTTAAATGCTTTATATTATAAATTTAATTAAAAAAGGGTTGTTTGATGTTTATATTTGGATCACTATTTGAGTACACAATTGTTAAATATATAGAAGCAGTCCATGAAAAACATTTAAAAGATATTTGCGATAAAAATGATTCACAAACACCTAAAATACAAGAAAATAACGAAAATAATGTTTCATTGACTAACTCTACATACTATACAACACCTTATTATCCATTGGTTTGTTCATTAGTTTTTGATTAATTAATAATTTTACAATAAAATTACTATTTATTTTAAAATTTTAGATTCCTGGATATAATCGTAATATTAATATAAAAGTTTCATATATTGACAATAAAATCAATTATGATATGCATTCAACTGATGTCAAAACTCAATCACTTTTCTCAACAAATGAAATTATTTCAAAAATAAAAAATTGGAAATTTTTACCTAAAGATAGTGAAAATGATATAATTTGGTCTAAACTTATTGATTACATTTCACGAATTGCTTTTCCCATTGGATTTATAATATTTGCTTTTATTTATTGGTTGATTTTGATTTTTATCTGATTGAACAAAATATTTGTTTAAATTTAAGTTTAATTAGAAGAATAAGTACTAATCAACAAAAACAAACTGATTTATCAGCAAATAAAAAAAATTAGTGTTTAAATAATTTATAAATAAATATATTATATATTGATATAAAATAATTAACTACAAATAGTTTTAATTTGACTAGAAACATTTTAACATTTAATTATAGATATATTAATTAATTTAATGACAATAAAATTTATTATAATATAAATGAACATTTTGTGTTAATTATAACAGTTTAATCGTAATAACACTAATTGTAATATAATGATAATACTGTATATATACAGTATATACAGTATATAAACAAGATTTGTATATTAAGAAAATATATATTTTTAAATATTTATAGAAAGAGTTTTGTTATACTATTCTAAATTTGTTATATTATGACAAACTTATGTTTTATAATATACTGTACGATGATATTTACAGTATAATTATTTTTAAATATTAAAAAACTGAATATATATATACAGAAATTAAATCCCGAAAGTACTGTAAGTATATATTATATAATGTTATTAACATAAAAATAAATATTAAGAATTAATTTTATGACTCAAAATTTCATAAATGAAACAATAAAATAATAAAATAATTAATTTGTTGGAAATTTGTGTTATGTAATAAATAAGGCATTTTATACAATTTATCAACTTTTACAACATTTTTCTATAAAATTGTTTTTAACAATATTTCTAACAATATATATAAAACTTGTGTTTAATAATAATAATAATTTAAAATGATGTTTGTAGTATTTTTATACATTACCACACATTTTACACATATTGTGCATATTTTTTTAAATCTAATTTTTAAATAATTTGTATTTTTTTAATGAAATTCTTATAAATTAAAGTGAAAAACTTTTCTTCAATGACTTGAAATATTTCACTAATGCTATAAAGTATAGCATTATTCCACTCATAGCTATCATACAACCTATTAATAAAAAAACATTAATTAGTATTATAGACGACTAACATTTAATACAGGAAAAATAATTTGGTGAAAAACAAATTAATATTTTATATTAGTATTATATTTTAATTTATAAATATTAAATGATAAAATTGTTAAAAAAAAATAAAAATCACATTAGTTAAAAACAAAATTTCTACATTAATAAATAAAATTATAATTAACTATTTAAATAACAATTTGAGTTGTTTTTTAAAAACTACTATAATGACTATGAGTCTCATTGATAACACCTACGTTTGAAATGTTTATTTATCAAATACAGTATATTGTTTACATAGTTTAACGTAATATACGAGATTATTTTTTATTTATTTACTGGATTACATATAAACATGTTTGCAGTATATAATGTAATTTATTTACATTTATATTTAATGATATCATTTGTCAAACAATACAAAAAATGAATGTTTGCCAAACAAAAAATAAAACAATAACTTCATTAATTGCGTTTAAAAGCTATTAAATTTATAAAACTTTTTTTCATTTGAATAATAAGTTATGAAATTTCTAACTTCTATACTTTAATTGTTATGTGATATAAATAAAATATTTAAGTAAAATTATCAAAAATATCAAAAGTTAATTGTTAAAAGCTAGACATTTGTTGTAATATTATCAAAAATTGTACAAGGTCATATAAATTAGATATTAGAAAATTTGTATGAAAAGATTTAAATAAAATACAGTATATTATAGCAAATTCATTCAAATTAATATTAAATATTTGTAGAATAAGTTAATATTATAAAAAATAATATTTAATTTAAGATTGATTACCGGCTACATAGAAACCAGGATCATATGAACCAGACATATCATATAACCAACCTTTTAAACAATTAATGTGAGTAAATATGTTTACAATTTATTAGTTAATATAAAATATATGTACCAATAATTGGAGGCCCAATAAAGGAGGCGACCCCTTGAAACAGGAGTAGTATACCAAAAGCATTGGTCAACTTTTCAATTCCTAATAAATCGACCAAAATTACTGACGTAAGGCTTACATAAGTCCCTAATTAAAGAGTTTTAATACTTTTAATGATTGACTAATACAATACATGAATAATTATAATGATTTTACCACAAGAAATACCAAATATTGTGCAATAGATTGTCATTAAATTGTAGGAACGGGCTAATGAACTGAACATTGTTGCGATACCACATACAGTCAGACTACCACTGTATAGCCAAAGACGGTTCACAAATGAATGGTCCGACAGATAGCCGAACACAAGTCGGCCGACAGTACTGGCGATACCTATCAAAGATATAAAAAATCCAGACTCTTCTGGTGAAGCTATGCCGAGACCGACCACTCTATCCTATTATTATTATTATTATTATTGTGTAATATTAGTTAAATAGTAGTCTTAAAAAATATTAATTATGAAAAATTCAAACAAACTTTAATATAAATGTGCGGAACAAAGAAACCAATACTTGTTAGGAAATTAGAGATCGCAAATGTCAAGAATATTGCGGTCTTTAATAAAGTAAAATCAAGCATTTCGTTGAATGTGTCGATCATTTCTTGGGAACAATGAAGACAACGGAAGAGTAAACACTGTTTGGTTTGCGACGACTTTTTAGACGATTGATGTAAATCGGCATTTGATTTATAGTGCGGTATATTTATTAGACTTCCGCTATAAAAGATGTCTTTACGATAGAGAACTCCCGGCGATAAGGAACAGGATCTTCGTCTCTCTGAGTTTTTTGCAGCACTTGTTTCAGTATTGTAAACATGAACTGAACTCATACTCGTAGCGTTTTGTATACCATTTTCATTAAAATTATCGTTTATAAGACTTTCATTGACTTTGTTAACCGAAAATGAGTGTCTGGTCGGACATCGCATTTCACCGACAAATTCGTGTAAATTATTGGCTAAACTAATGCATTCATTCTTTAAATAATCATTTTTTTCGCGACACATATCCAGCTCTTCTTCCTCCTCTTCAATACTTGTCGTCACATTTATCTCTAACGTTGGTTTCATCTTAAAAGCTTCATTGGCTGATATTGATTTGGGAACCGCATCTTTGAGTGGTCTTTTAACATCGTTTTCTTCACATTTATCGTCATTATCTTCATAATTATCTTCAAGTGGGCGGAAAAGTGCTCCAAAAACACAACAATTTAATGTCAGTCCCGACACTATAAGCATCGCTCCCTTCCACCCATAGATTACAATTAGCCATTCAATTAGTGGCGCCAATATAGCGCTACCAATGCCTATGTAATTAAGTATTTATTAAATTGATTAAAATATATGATTACTGTATGTTAAGCTACCTGAGCCGCAAACAGCTATTCCAGTGGCAAATGCTCTCTTCTTTTCAAAATAACAGCTAACACTTAATAATTTAAAAAATAATTTAATTTACAGTAGTGTCACGTTTTAGAGATATAATGAAAGTATTAAATGACTTATAAATAAATTATAAATACTAAAAATAATAATATAAATAATTTAATACAAATATTATAGAATTATTTACCTGACAATTGCGGGCAAATACATGAGCCCAAAGCCAAATCCCGTACAGATTCCTATAGTAAAGTAAAGTGTGATAACGTCGGGTGCGATCAAACTTAATAAAAAGCCGACACTCGATAGTATAGCACCGGCTATAGTAACGGCTCTACAGCCATATTTATTTGTCAAAGCACTGGCTATCGGACCTGTTTAACAGTAATTGTAATTATTAATCAAAGATGTATTTTATTTTATAAAGATTTTGTTTTTTATTACAACAAACTAATACTTTCCAACACAATATGTAGTTCCCGTCATAATGGATGCTACCCATGAAGTCATTGCATTACTGGTTTTATAGTGTTTAAGTATTTCGTAGTAAAATATGCCAAAAGTATAGGTAACTCCATCAGCGATCACATGTATCATAAAACTGGCGAACACGACAACCCAACCCCAGCCTCCGTCCGGACATTTGGACGATCGTTGGCCAGAATTTGATTGAATTACAGCCATAATTGTAATTTAATTCCTTATTCAATACCATATAAGGAGTTATTTAAATAATAAATACTATAATTTTTTATAGTTTATGGATTTATTTCATGTAAATCAAATAATAAAATATAATTAGAAAATAAGTAAAATTTTTATTCTTAATAAGAAAACTTACAATTTTTGTAATTTGTATCAATTTGATACACAGATGAAATTAATTATATTTTGTTAAAATATAATTTTAAAATAAATTATGATTTGTTTTTTACTGATTCAATCTGTGTTTTAGCCAGACTTGAAGGCACATTATATCCCAATTCAGCATAAATTTTACTAACAAATGAAATATTTTTAAATAAAAGACAATTTTCCAAATGAAATCTCATAATCTTGTTTTTTTAGTTAAGTATTGATCGATGAAATAGCTTTAATCCCAAATATAATTAGTTGACATTAAATCTATAAAAAATTATTGATTGTTTAAATAAATTAATTAAGCACTTAAATAATTAATTTCTATTTGCTTTATAATATAATATGATTTGTTCCTTTACTTATTTATAGAGTAAAAATACATTTATTTTATTTAAAATCCCATATTCTATAGTTTTTTTTTAATTTTAAAATAAAACATTAAATTAATACATTAATAAAATGTATTTGACAAACATAAAAATCATACTTAAGATCAATAGTTGAAAATCAGTATTAATAAAAATTATTTAAAAATTATAAAAATTAATTAATTCAATACAGAGTGCTTACGATATGACGTGAATCGATTCATAGTATTGAAAGCAATGATAAGCCAATTGCTCCCTAATTCACGTTTCCTTGCAATGCTTCTACACTATAATAAGGCAATAATTAGTCAGCAGTTATTGTCATCCCATTGTATTACTGACACAATTGTATAAATTGTATATATTTACATATATATATATTTATTATATCATTACATTTATATACAATTAAAAACTAATCCACTGATTAATTTATATAATTTTTTTCCAAATACGTTGGTTTGTCATTGAATTAAAACATTTATACACGACTTCAATACAAATAATGATGAGTCCAAAGGCAAATTAGTAACCGATGGACAATATAACGGTAATACCAATATCTTATGGCTTATGTATAACATGTCATTTAGATAACACTTAACAAACAAACAAAACACAACATTACTGTTAAGCTATGATTAAATCCGATGAGTTTTTTTTGGATTAAATTACAAAACAGTATAATTTAGCTCTTTATATGCGAATATATTAAATTTAATTTAAAAGTTAGCTTCAAATCCAAGGTTAGGGATTAAAGCGCACTGATATGACGGTCTAAAAAGAAACCCAAAGAGCCCATAGAAACATAGAGATTGGCAATGGTATGCAATGTGCAACATCTCATCACACAAACTATCAGTGCTATTATATCACTGATCACTCACTGCTCAGCTGACTATTGAGTTAAAGCCAAAAATGTCTTATTATTGTTAAACATTGGAATATTAGAGAGAGAGAGAGAGAGAGAGAGAGAGAGAGAGAGAGAGAGAGAGAGAGAGAGAGAGAGAGAGAGAGCTGATGTACAACTGTAGTACTACTGAGCAGTTGCTCATAGAGGTAGAGAGCAGTCGGTAATGTTATGGCTGAGTTGAGGGTTATGTTGTGTTATGCAGTGTTAGCACAGTTTAGATGATCGATAAAATAGCTTTCAATGACAAACTCTTTAAGACAACTCATAAATACTATAAATATGTTATTAAAAAACATTTTTTATTTTGTTTATCTATTTTTAGTCATTTAAGTCAATGAAAGGATGAAATGTTTTTGTTAGCTATAAAATCAGCAAAAATGTTAATCATATTAAATAACATTTAGAAACATAGTTTTTAATCTGTTGACATTGTTTTAATATATTTTGTAAATATTTATTTTTCCAAATACTAACATCCTTTTTAATATTTATATATATATTTTTATTGATTCTGAAATATTAATAAAGATTATTCAATAAAATAAAAAAATAATAGTCTCAAAATTTGTATATTAATAACCAATAGAAATAACAGTAATAAAAATATTTTGCTATAAAAAACAGTTGATATTTTGCGACACAATAGTTATGAGTGTTTTTTTTGATGACCAATAATATTGATAATCAGATTTTAGCTGTTATTCGAGTTCAATGAGCACCTGTTCGTCATCGACGGTATCGCCGGTCTTACAGTTAATGGCTTTGATTTTACCAGAAGTGCTAACTGTAAGACTATTTTGCATTTTCATTGCCTCAATCACACATACTTCTTGACCCTCAGTGACCTTAAAATTGAAAGATTAGACATTTGTATATTACATCTAATAATTTTATCTAAAAAAAGAAAGACATCAATAATTACTTGATCTCCAACAGCAACGACAACTGATTTAACCAAACCAGGCATCGGTGACTTCAATATTTTGCTTACGTCGAGCTTAGGTTTAGTTGGAATTAATTCATAGTATTTGGCAGTTTTGGTAGTCATTACTTGAATGTCAAACTATCAACAAATAAATGATATAAAAGTTATATAAAATTAAAATATTTGCAGAAAAATGTCATTAAATTTATTATACAATTGTTCCCTTATATTGCAATCTCATTCGTCCCGTTCCGTCAATTGATATCAATTGAACCAAATATAAGTCATCATTAATAGCGAATTGAAAGGTTGGCGAAGCCATTGAAAAAGTGTTGTTAAGCTCTAATTTTTGGTCATTAACTTCAACAATATATCTATTTTCATCTATTTTGAGATTCACCGGTAAAATTTGTTCTCCTTTACCAATGTTCACCTGAAGATCCCAATCGATAAATGGATTTTGAAGTGAATCATCAGTGGTAATGGTATTCAAGAAATGCATAGCACGAGTACTATCGCGGACAAAGATGGCCGCCGCTATTGTCGCCACATTTTGAGAGGTTTGAGGCGTTAATTGTGTGCCTTTAAAGCCATCGGGATATGTCTGTTGCAAGTATTTGGTACTAATATTTCCCGAAACAAAATTTTTCTCAGTTATTATATCTCTGAGAAGCGGAATATTATGAGTTAAACCTCTGATGACATACGCGTCCAAAGCTTCAGTCATTGTTTTAAGCGCTTCGTCTCTATTGTGTCCATAAGTAACTAATTTACAGATAAGTGGGTCATAATATATGCTGATATCTGAACCCTCTTTGACACCACTATCGCACCGGACGTTATCAATGTGAAGCGGCTCTTTATATTTAGTGAGTCGACCCACTGATGGCAAACCAAAACTCTTGTACGGATCTTCAGCGTAAATACGAGATTCAAAGGCCCAACCTTTCAATTGAATATCATTTTGTTTGTACTTAAGTTGATGTCCTTTAGCAATACGTATCATTTGATGGACCAGATCTATACCAGTGATGTATTCAGTGATAGGATGTTCCACTTGTAGACGAGTATTCATTTCAAGAAAATAGAAATTCTTGTGGGAATCAACTAAAAATTCGACGGTTCCGGCGGAGTCATAGCCGACATTCAATGCCAGTGCAACCGCTTGTTCACCCATTTTTCGGCGCAACTCTGGGTCCACGAAAACACTGGGCGCCTCCTCTATCACCTTCTGGTTACGTCTTTGTATTGAACACTCTCTTTCATTAAGATATAAAGCGTTTTTATGTTTATCGCAAAGAACTTGTATTTCAATATGTCGTGGATTTTCAATAAATTTTTCAATAAGTAGTCTGTCGTCACCAAAACTGGACGACGCCTCCATTGAAGAGAATCGGAAGCCCTCAACGGCGTCCCTATCATTCCAAGCGATTCTCATACCTTTACCGCCGCCACCGGCCGACGCTTTAATCATAACTGGATAACCGATTTCATTGGCCAATCGGACGCAATCATCGGCGTTCTTAATCACGCCATCATAACCAGGAATGGTATTAACTCCGGCTTTCTTTGCAATAATTTTGCTCTCAATCTTATCTCCCATCGCATGAATGGCTTGACTGTTAGGACCAATAAATTCAACTCCCGATTGGTTTAGTTTTTTAGCAAAATCTGTATTTTCCGATAGAAATCCATATCCCGGATGAACGGCTTGGGCACCACTTTTGTTAATCACATCAAGAATAGCGTCAACATTTAGATAACTATCCTTAGAGGCGGCACTTCCCACACAATAGGCCTCATCGGCCGTCAATACATGAAGAGCTGTCGAGTCTATATCACTATGAATGGCAACACTTGTTATACCCATTTGTTTGCACGTCTTAATCACCCGACAGGCGATTTCACCCCTATTTGCGATCAATATTTTGTCAAATTTCTGAATCATAAATACAATCATCAATTCAATCATTTTTTCAAAATAATAAATCAATTAAATCATTCATTGACTGACCGTTTCATTTGCATCCACTCTATCGGCAAAGTATATAGACTTTTGGCTAAAATATCTTCGAATTGTTCCATTGGTTCCATTCAACTCTTGTAATCTGATGGCTAAATATCTTGCATTTTTATATAACTAAAATATAATAAACAAATTAATCAATTTAGGTTTATATAAAATTTAGGCATATATTAATCACCATTGATGATTTTTCAATATTAAATTTGTTTATCAATAAATTTAACATTTTTTCCCGAAAATAAACTTAAGTTTTTATTTTATAATTTAGTAAATAAATTGTCAAACAAAATAATAGAAAATATGATATCACATATGATATATATATATATATATATATACTGTATATATGTATATATATTAAACTATTTTATAGATTTATATAAATTTAGTAACAAAACACAATTTGTGAATAATTTAAATGTAAGGTATTATTATATGTTTAATATAATTTTTTATTTATGTTGCAAACTGTAAATATTGTACAAATAAGCGTGCTAAAAGGGCGTAAGTGTGTTTATATTAATAAAGTAAGCTAACCAATAAAATGTACATTGATTACATATTTCAATAATTTTATTTTATATTTATATCTATAAATCTGTAATAAATATATAATTTAGTACATTAGCCAACTAATAATTAATCACTTATTATCATATAATATAAATTAATCATAAATAGTATATATAATTTTTTGACATTTTATTACTAATAGAGTTATTAATTATTTTAGAAAAGTAGCCATATAAATTTATATGTATTTGATGTAATGTTAACCATTTAAACAATTTATACAGATTCAGGTAATCTCTATAAGTTTAGGATTACATTGACATTAGATCTATTTGTACTCTAACTTAAGTTTAATTGCAACTATGAATAAATATTTACTAATAAATTTTAAATCATTTTCAATATACTTTATTTTATAATAATTAATATTAATGATTTTGCAAATGACCATGATCAATTCATTAATTAAATACTGTATTTAAGTTTAAACGATTGCGCAATCAGTTTTGAACGCTCTCTAAACATTAATAATATATATATTAAATATTAATAATCTAATATATGTTAACTCATATATTGGAAATTTGGAATATACTCTAATAATTAAAAGTTAAAAATAAATACAGTATACATGTATAATATCTACAGTAACTATATAACTATCAATATATAATTAATACTTACGTGTTAATGATAACTATTTTTTAATAAAATATAATATTAAAAATAATAAATTAGCAAATACTGTACAGTCATAGCGTAAAATACATCAATTTTTAAAACAATTTAACCAACTATTATATAGAGATTAAAATTTCATAATTTTTTTTAATTATTTACATTTCTAATTATGATGTAATATTTATGTTGTTAGAAATATTATTAGATAATCTGATTTAATTATTAACATTTTTATAATATGTAAGCAAATTTAAATTTCTTATCACTTATTAAATTACATATTATTTTAGTATAGCAAATAATAAATACTAAATGATTAATATTTAAATGGCAGCAAATTTTGTTATGTATTGCTAATAATAACTTTAATTTCCTTGTTTTATATTAACAACATTTTAAAACTCATAAATAAAGTATAATTTATTAAATTAATAATTATCAATTAGTTTTTGATTGTCTATTTTATTGTATATAAGTCTATAGTATTTTATAAACCAGTAAATTACTTGATTATCAAATAAATATTAACTTTAAAATTTTCATGTAAAATAATATAAATTTTTATTGATATAAACAGTCAATTATAATAATAATAATAATATCATTAATAATTTTACACTAATTTTTTAAATTTTAATTATGTTCATTATTTTACACAATTTTTTAGATATTTATAAAACATTAGTTTATAAAGATATGGATCAAAGTTTGACTTGTCTTACATTACAATATATTGTATTTAATTATCTAATGAGTTATAAAAAAGAATTCTCACTTTTCTATCATTCAATTTAATAAATTTTTTAATAATTAATTACAAATTCAAAATTCATATAAACAATTGTATTTAAATTTATAATCGATTTTTAGGCGCAAATGGCATTCAAAAATCAACAAAAATATAACCATCATTTAAATATAATGTATGAAATTGTGAATTATTTTTTAAAAATTAATTTATTAATCAATCAAAACAATTTATTTGTTGGACGATTTATTAAACAAATTACAAAAAAGACTATTAATATTAATAAATCGTTTTTAACGTCTTATTTAATGGCCTATCAATTTAACTTTTTTTTCTCTGTACAAAACATTATCTCATTTATAATAATAATAAATAAGTAAATTTAAATTATCAAAATCTTATTATCAAATAGTCTTACAATTACTTAATTTGTTTATAAAGTCTATCATATCATCATTTTTTCATTTTGTAGTTGTATTTTATATAACGTAATTAACTATTTGTTGATTTGTATATATATATATAGAATCATACTTAAATTAATATAAATTAAATTTAATGCAATTTTAAACATGCGTTAAAATTTTTAAAAAACAAAAGTGTTTTCAATCACTTATAACAATCTTTTGATTGAATGTTTAATTTTAAACCTCAACTTTCATTAAAAACATTTTTGTTTTGTTGACTATTTTTATCTTCAGTTTGTGACTCTCTATCAAAACTAGTCGACTGTTGAGACATATGACTGACTGTTTGGTTCTTCATCTGTGGTGATGAAGTCATTGGTTTGATCTTCGTTGGAGAGTTATGTTGAGGGTTACTATTAATCCATGGATACACCCGATTCTGAACATCAACATCACTGGTAGTTGGACTCGAAGGACCAGCAGTTGGGTGAGTGTTGCCAACTGTAGGTCCGGAAGAACTTTGATTCCACCATTTGTTTGTTGTTTCGTCATTACATTCATATAACTTATATTTATTAGTGTCTTCATTAACTCTCTGTCTGAAAGATCTGGGACGCAATGGATCCTCACTAACTGTTTCTGAAGGAGGACTATCTGTTTCCTGAGATATTTCATGTTCTTCAAGATCTTCTTGTGGTTCTTCAGGAGGACATAATTCATGAGCTCTACTAAGAGTAAGTCGAGCGCTATGAGATCTTTCGAGATAATAGCCATTACTGGTTTCATTTGACTGTGCAGGTGGTGACCAATTGTTGTAACCGTATTGATTGTTGGCCGCATACGGTCTCTTATCGAGTTCATCACTGAGCCAAACAACAGCGCTCATCCATTTCCTTTTCAAGTCAATGTGTTCGTGCAATAATTGGTGCGCTAATGGACAGGAACTGAATAAAGTAACCAAACATTTGATACATTGATACGCTCTCTTCTGGTAATGGCTTTTATTTCGATTAATTGTGTCAAAAAGTGCTTCTCTTTCTTCAGTTGTACCTAAAAAAAGACAAATTTATAATGAGATGCAAATACATGACAAACATTTCAGTATATTATTTACCTCCTCTGAGAGCATTAAGTAACCGATGCGTTTGCCACGAGTCATCCAAAAGTAACATTTCCAACAACAGATCCAAATGTGGTCTTAATTCGTAAGCATACGAATAGGCAATTTGCCACAAGAGTTCACTCAATACCATTGATGAGAAGTGAGGATTTTCCCAACAGCAAAACTTTAACAATTTGATTGTGTCGTCAGCACTATTAGCTTCTTCGATGATCTTTTTGGTGTAATTGGATTTATTAAAAACTAAATCAGCCACTTGTGGTGGAATAGGCATCAAATAATCATCTATATCTTCGGCCATAAAGGGATTCGGATAGACTTTATTTCCAGACATCGACGATATTGTTTTAGATGAGACATCACAGCACCTAATTAGAAGACTGACCACATTATAGAGTTTTCCTAAGTCTGCGTATTGATATTTGATGGGAGGTCCCGGTCCCTCATCCAGTGCCACTAATATGAACAATTCGGGAACGCATTGTTTCAACAATTGTAATTTTTCCGCCTTTCCAATGGAAGCGTACATCGAAAATAAACTAAAATATTGACCTAAATTTCGACTATAATCCGAAACTTCTTTTCGAAGTAAATCTAATGTTAATCTAATTAAACAATTTGATAGATTGATAGGTGAGGTTTCGTTTTGATGGGCTGTCAATAAACAAAACAAAAATATATTATGAATTATTTTAACCGATACTATAGTACTAATACAATCACAACAACTATGACTTACAGGACTGTTGAATATCGACTTGAGATCCGTCCATAAGTGTAAAGTGCGCTAAATATATGATTATTTTACTGAAGGCCACTCTGACGTCAGCGGACGGACATTCCAATAGGTATTCACTGAATCTGTTTTGATGGGCTAACAGTACTTTCGTTATGAACCACATCCGGATTGATTCGCTTACTTTCAAATGTAATGTCAATATCTCGTACCAATCAAGAGCTGGTCCACTATAGAGTAGATAATCATTAGACACTTTTAAACTGAAACTGACAATTAAAATAATAATTAACAAACCGAAGGGACTTTTTAGTCCTAAGACATGTCGAAAACAGGAACTTTGAGGCCAGTTGTGTGCTTATTGTGGCCAACTCTTCCTGCCATTTATTAGACTCTTTAGTATAATTACCGATCCAACCGTTAGCACTGATCAACTTTTTCATGAACTGATAGTATTCATAACTAAACTGGTTCTTCATGTGCATGAATTTGATGTTTTGTCTTTGAACACTGCGTTCAATGGCTACCGGCATCTTAAATAGCTTCTTATCGTTTGCCTTTGAGTCCATTAATACTAATTCATTAAGACGTTTAGCGAGTGCTGTCTCTTCGGTATCATTTCGTCGATAGAAAAGTATGTATGCGTTCCACCATCTCTTTTGTCGTCTACAGGACATCCGCTTAAGCATATGATCAAACACTTCGCCCATATAATCGCCACCAAAACATTGAGCTCTCATTTCTTCGTCTTCATCGAGTTTGCATTCGGAAACATCTCCGTCGTCAAACTTAAACCAATTCTTAGATCCGTTATTACTCTTATAAAGAATATAAGAATAATAATGACCACCACTTGCTTGACCCGAGTGGACAACAATTCCGCATAAGTCGTATTTAGTACATTGTTTATCTTTATCTGACAACGATTGATCTTCTTCATAGACATTAAGATCGTCGTCAATCATTTGTCCATCAACTTTGGCCAATCCTCTCACAGTATACGGTTCCATATCAAGAAAGCGTGGAAACTCAAAGTAATCATTGAATTTAATGGCGCACTCCCTCTCCCAGTCGTAATCAAATCGTTTCAATTGAATTGCTAAAACTGATGGCAACTTTTTAATGCACAACCGTTTCATTGTATCAACTTTTCTGTTGCATTTTTCGCAGTGGTAAGCATTAGCTCCTTCTAAAAGATCACCCTTGACATACTGTTCCAATGAATCCAATAAATTACTGTGATTTCTAATGTCAATGTTTAATGTTGTGAATGACTCTTCACGAGAATATCTATAAAATAGATTATAAAATATAAATTCAATGTACGATAATATAAAAACTGTATAAATCATGAATACCTGTGAGGACAGTCTTTACAAATCTTTTGATCGGCAAAAGTACCGCCCAATACATTAGACATAATTGGTAAGTGACCCAATGATTTAAGTGCTTCATCTAAACTATCGACTAAACTATTAAAAAACTCGAGAGCGTCGTGTTGTTCCCGAAGATTAACCGGTTCGCCCCATAATCTAATATTTTGATAAAATTTTTTTTAAAAATTTAATAAAAATATCACAAACTAATTATAAAACTTACTTAAAATGTCTCCAAAATCCTTTGGGAACATAATATTGACATTTACTTAAAATCAAGTGACCAAAGATGGCTTGAATTTGTTTGAGAACACCTAAGTTATAATCTTTACGCGAATCGTCTTTATTTGATTCTTCAATTCTGTTTTGATCTATACTTAATAGACTTAAGTGTATGGAATCGTTTCTGTCATCACCAGAAAAATCTTCATTAGGATCAGTGGCCGCACCTTCTATTGCAAGAATGCCGTCTCGAACTTCTTGAATCATATATAACTACAAATAATATATAATTATAAAGTAATGTTTTAAATAATTTTTTTAAAGACAAAAACCTGTTGCAAAACAGAATTCATATAACAAGTGGCGCCGGCGTTCTTGAGACCGACAAAGCCTCGGGGAGATCGGGGACCTATTGGCGGCAAATATTCCCAATCAACGAGTGTTTCATTAGTTGAATAAAACATTTCAATAAGTGTAGTGGCAGTCAATTGCAAGTTATAAGCACATCCAGTGGAAAGAGCAACCAAACAATCATAAGCAGCGGCCAATGTTGACGGAGACGTACAAATGGGATTCACTTCTTCAATATGCGTTCGATTTGTGTTCTTCTGTTGATTTGTTTGAAATATAGCTCTTGAAGCGGGAAATATGTATTCATCGATTAAAATATTGATCAATCCGTGTCCCTCCTGTCCCCAAATTCCTTTCATATCACAGCCGACATCATATTTTTGCTCAAAATCTAATAATGATATAATCTCTTTGGTTATGCCTAAGTGTCCTTCTAATTGAATCTCTTCAATCAGACCATCGACGACCAAATTTTTCTATAAATCAAATATTATATATTAATTAAGTTATAATTAAATATTAATCTTAAAATAAAAACACTGAAAAAATTATGACTAACCCTAACATTCCTCAATTGTTCCATTTCGTAGTTAAGAAGTTCAGAGACGTTTGGTAATAAACATTTTGTTTGAGACGCGTAATTCAATAAACGACAAAATAATTGAAAAAATTCTTGAGAAGATTCATAGTGCGATTCTTTAGAAACAGTTGATCCCAAATGGATGAACAATAGCTGAACAAATCTAACTAAAAAATCCTGTTCTGTCGCACATTTAGTTGCTATCAGAGCTAACTGTTCCAATGCTGTCGAACGAATACATCTGAATGAAAAATACAATTAATTAATTGTAATATTATAATAAAAAATAAATATTAAATTACTTTTTGTTGCAAATTAATAATAAATCGATAACAAATGTCTGCCATATTTGCTCTTTCATAAAAACGACTAATACTTCAGGAGATAACATAAACATCACAGTCAACACTTCGATGGCTTCTTTGCACACTTGATCCACTTCTGCAGGACTTTCGTCATTAGGTTCAACAATAATTTGATGCAACTGTTCGGTTGATGCGTTCAGCGACGACTCGCGACCTGTAGCTGCAGACCAGGACAACAACATTACAGATGTAATGGTGGCCTTATCTGGTCTATAGTTCAATATATTATTATAAATTTGGTTATTATCACAAACTCTTAAATTTTGAGCGATTCGTTGGGAAACACTTCGTGTCATACACTCTGAGAAAACATTTGGAATACTTTGAATGGCGTCCTGTAATGTAATCACATTATGTGATGAGTGACCAGTCATTGGACTCAATACACAGTTTGCAATTGTCGTAAGCGTTAGTTTACTTATCTTTAGCACAATTAAAAATGCACACCTATTGTCAAACAAACAAAAATATTAAAAATCTTTTTTTAGATCTACAGGTAATAGCAATATATAACTTACATTTTGCTAAAATCGTCAGCATTTGAGAGAAAATTATTTTTTGTAAGTAATTCAAGTATTTTAAGACCGCAACCACTTTTCATAAAATTCATTTGAAACTCTTGAGCGCCGTCTGAGAGAGGATTCGATGCCGGAATCAATAGTGAATAAATAATTCCCATATTATAGATAACACGAGTGGGAGAAGTATTGAAAAATTCTGAATCAAATTTAAGACTTTGTTCCTCATATGAAACGTCGGATCCAGACATACATAGTTGCTTAATGTGTTCAATAGTTTGAATGTCGGCCGACATTATTTTGAGGACAGATAATGCACTTTCTCTTAATGATGGGTTGTTTAATGACATCCCTATGTCGGCCAATTGGAACAAGAATTGAGTGTATTGTGACTGACGAGACATTATCTGACAGATGGTTAAAAACATTAGATATTATAAGAAATTTAAATTAAATTAAACAAAATATACCACTCCAGGTAAACAAGCCTCGGCTTCGGGATTAGCGCACGAATATGGATTAGTCCATCCGGTGCCGGTTGAACTGTCTGACGATGAATCGGGAGAACAGGCCATATTTGAATTTACTTGAAATAGCTTTCCGTTTAAAACCTAAATATTTTCATTAATTTACAAATATTGATAAATTAAAATATAAAATGCAATAATAATACCATTTTATCTTTAAATGGCAGTTGTGAGACAAGTTTCTTATCAATTGGATCTAACAAATCTCCATTCATGTAAAGATCTACTTTCATGTTTGAATTATTCACTTTAATTCTGTTAAATATATTAAATATATTAATTTGTTGTATATATGAATTAAATTATCAAATTTTATACTTATTTAATATTTGTTGCCTAATTGAATGTAATGTATCGTTAGTATGGGTCCATATCTCGATGTCATCGACATGTCGGCCATGATTTGGGAATCGTATGGTTAACATTAGATGCTTTCCCCTAAATGAACGACTCATTGGCAAAATAGTGCGCTCTTCGCCAAAATCATTATCACATTGATTAATATATTCGTAAAGAGCTTCTAAAACTCGTGTCATTTTAACCATTTCTTGTTTAACTCTGGCTTCAGATGTGATATCTTTTTCAATTATTGAAATCGTGTCATAACTGGCACGTAATCTATCAAAACAAGTGTTGATAAAGTCTTCGTGTAGTTCCACCTGAGAAGCCATGAGTTTAGGTCCGAGATTAGTATACGTCTCTTTGAGCAATTCTATAGCCTTTCGGGCCACGTCTTCACTACAACACAATATAACTCTCCATAAATAGTCGATTCCAATGAGTTCATTGTCTTCCATCTGAAAGCACCGTCTTTTTGCTATAAGTTTTCCTTCTTTAACATTAACTGCTTTAAAAAATCTATCGAAACACTCGATTCCACTTTCGGTAACTAATGACGGATCTAATTGTAAAATATTGTTTTCAAAAAAATTTCGATTTATATCTGGATCAAGATCTGGTTCATCGCTCATCAATAGGGAAAACCATCGAAAGCAAGCCTCCCTATCATCGAGATAAACGGCATTCTCAGCTAAACACTTCCAGATCTGTTTTGCTTGAGGTGAACACAACCATAACTGTCCGTCTTTTAAAAGAAATCGCAAAAAGTTAAGTCTTTCGAGAACTTCTTGAACGTGAGAAAATCGACTGCCGGGGTAAACATAATTGGGATCAATATGTTTGCCCTCTTTAAACAACATCCGAACTCTATTCATATATGAAGATAAGTTTTCAGAGACCAGTATTACCAGTGAGTGTTGATTCTGAAGACGTGATATAATCTCATGTCTATAGACTAAATGTGTGACTCTTTGATGATGTGAAGGATTGCCAGATATTGTTGGACCCGACACCACAAAGTTAGGCGGGGCTTCGTTATATAGGGAACAGACTTCACGTATTTGTTTGAGTGCCGGCAGAACCCAAACACCTCCGTTTGGTTTTGTCAGTTCTTCAACACATTTATCGAGCCATTCAGTCTTTTGCGTATCTCTATCCTGAGAGCAGCTGTAGTCTAGGATCTTGACGTGAGCTCCCAGCGCTTGATCCATAATATCGTTGGGCACATCATCAGAATGAGCCAAATTCCATAACAAATTGAGCACTTTGTTGGCCATTAGTCCGTCCTTATCGTCTTCAGCCAATCTTCTAATTAGTTCTAAAAGTTTTTCTCTTTGTTTTTTGGTAGCTTTAGTCCAACTTTGCTGAAAGCATTCAAAGAGATGGTCTAACTGTTCGGGTGAGAAATCCCAGGCCAGTTTGGCCAACAAGTCGTGCACATTCTTTACAATGGCCTCATGTTTTCCGCTCTGTGCCGACCAAATGTCATCTAAATCTTCGAGAGTTAACGCTTTCTCTTTGAGCACAAATCGTATAATTTTCTCTAATTTCTCCACATATTGTGGCTGATGTAATGAATCTCTTAAAACTATTTGCAATACTTTGTTTTCCTTTAGCCATTCGGCCATCTTTTCTGCCGTTAACCACTCTTCCTCTTCAACACCTGACATACAAGTAGTGCTTTGATGGCGATGTGAATAATATGAAACACTAGTAATAACTTTATTGACTTCGTTTAGAGCATTCATTTTGCCGTTAAATGACGAGATTTGAAGTAATCGTAAAATAGTTTTTAATCTAAAAATTTCTAAATTCTTAATCATTTCTTCATCGTTTGTCACTCGAGAGGCCAAACATTTCAAAGACTTAACAATTCCTGAAAGCGCGTCGTTTTTTGTCTCATTCTTTGCTTCTTTTTTGAGTTCATCGTCGGTAAGATTATCCAAAAATTGAGGCACTATTTTAATAATCGGTAGAAAATAAGTTTCAATAGTTTGTGTCGTTAGTAACTCGTATGACAATCCAAATGGCTTTAGAAGAGCGGCTATTAGGGGAACCGTAAGCGTCGGACCACTTTGGAAGCGCTCCAACAATATCTTAAAACCACCTAATTTTCCAAATTTATTGATAAGATCTATGAGCCATCCTTTTGGTGTTCGCAAGTCTTGAGATTTGGCAAATACTTCTTCATCAGGAGATCGAGTTATTGTCTCAGTTCGAGTGCTCGTAAATGAATGAAATCTATTTAGGATTAATATAAATAAAGATTTAAATGAAAAATACTAATTTAGATAAAGTTTATAGATTTTTATAGTAAACTTTACTTTATTATAGTTAACTTAAAAATTTTCTAAATAATATTATGCAGTAATTTTTAAAATAAAATGAATATTTTAATTAGTATGCAATGTTAAACTATTATTTTCAAGTTAACTATACTTATTACCGGTAATTAATAAAATTTAATTTGTTATTAAAAGCTTATTTGATTTATAGACTTTTTTTTGGTAGTAAACAACTTACTTATTGGAGGGACAAAAAACCATTGCCAACAAATCCAATAATGGGAACCAGTCTTGATTGAGCTTAAGAACTATTAACTCAATAAGTCGCTCGCAGTTATTTAAAATACATCTCTAATAAACAAATGATAAACAATATCATTAATAATATTATTAACAATTACCGGTATATTAATTCATACGTGTATTTCAAATTTCCATCCATTAACTGCTTCGTCGGTCAATATTTTAGTGAACGAAATGGTTAGTCCTTCTCTTATAAACCTTTGACACGGTTCTGATCTAATGTCATAACCTTTTCTGCATAATTTGATAGTTGTTTCCAAAAGTATTTCGAGTTCACCTTTTGGAAGGACAGGTATGACCCAACGGGGCTTATTAATCATATCATCCAATTTGTTGAGCTCCTCAACGGGAAACTCTGGCTCCTCATCGTCAGCTAACTCTTGTTTGGCTTCACTGTCATCACCATCAGTGCTCATTTCAATAATATCATCGGATATATTAAGCGATTCGTTGCTTTTATGATGACTAGTACTGGAAAAGTGCAAAACCTCTTCATTTCCATCACTCACTTGATTGTTGTCCGCTAATGTCTTAACGGATTTGTTGTAATTAATCTTTCGATTCGTTTTATTAGTGTTAATATTGGCCGGACTTTTGTCAGACACGTGCGACGGCGTACCCGTACTCGAGGCCTGTGCTAAACTCTCATCGCATTCAATGTCCATCGGCTGCGGCGGTGTCTGTGTCTGGTCTGCTGATTGTTGTTGCGGCGCCACATTGGGATGCGTTTGCGGCGATTGCTGTGACTGTTGACCACTATTACCGGTACTCATCACAACTGTCATCTCTTAACTGAACCTCCATTAGTGACAACAAAATCATACCATTAGATGACAATAACAATAAAAAATGGTTTTGTTTACCTTTTTCGGTGATCACTAGATATGATATCGGCTTTCAATTAAATGACAATAATTTCATTATACGTTTGGCTAATGTTTTTCAATCAACCAATAAATCAACAAATATTTGCAAACAATTTTCAATTACTAATTGAATTGATATAAAAATAATTTGTTTCAACAGATATTGTCATCAAATTTAAATAAATGACAAACAAATTGTTGTTGACATCAATGGTCGACAAAACAAAAATAGATTTCAATTAAAATCATACAAATTATATGATATTAAAAATGATTGCAATGTTGTTGTTGTTGTTGTTGTGATTAGTGTTGTTGTTGTTGTAGTTTTACAATTGAAATCAATTCAATGTTTTTATTTGACTTTTTTTCAATACATTATTAGTTATATATTTATAGTTATTATTACTGTATATAAAGTCTATTGAATACTACATCTTATGCTTTAATCAATGTATCGCTGATTTGCTGTCAAACACACACTAATACAAGCAGTTATGTCTATATTGAGTGTCACTTTCACTGATACTAACATTGGATGACAATTATGTCCAAACAAATCAAATACATACCGATTAACTAATTTTTATAATTTACTAATTACTTATAATTACTACTTATAATAATTAATTGTTAATTTAAATTCAATTAATTTTATAATAAAAATTAATTGAATTTTATTTATAAAAGCAAAGCTCTATAATTAAAATATTTTCATTTATAATATTAATCGATAGAGTTGTTTACCATAAAATACTTTGTATTAATATTACAGCAATTAATTGGAAAACACTATTTTACAGACAACTTATATAATTAAACAATTGTTTAACAATTAAATAATGTTTTTATATAATAAAATTGATATAAAAATATCGATAATTTAAATATTTTTGTAATTATTATATAAATTAAAAGCATTAAAACAAGTGATTTATTATGACATTAGAAAGTATTTATGTGAAGACCTCTACACTGTATTCTATGTCTAATATATTAATAATAGATTTGAAGCGCTTTTTTGAATTATAAACAAAACAATAAAATCTATGAATTGAATGAATATTGCGGTCAATGAGTGAAGTAATTGATTGTCAATTGATTTGTTGTTTAACTCTATTATGACTTATATTTGTAAACAATTTCTAACAAATTATAATCAAAAGTGTTTACCATTAGTGAGGAGACAGTCATCGGCGTCGTTGTGGTCATTGTTATTAAATTGTCGTAATTTGAGTTCACATGCGATCACCGATTCTTCGACATCAATGGTTCGGGTGTTGAGTGTGGCCGAGAAGAATGACGTGGCCAAGAATGTGGCCAACATTCTCGGCAGAGGAGCCGTACGGACTCGGGAAGGATTGAGTAAATTCAATAAAGTTTATGAGATAACCGTTGGCCACAACACACTCGGCAATTGCAATATGAGTTTGACTTCTGTTTGCGGACATCTTTTCAATTATGATTTCGGAACTCAACACAAGAAATGGTGGTCTTGTGAACCAAAAGATTTGTTTTGGGCACCAATTGAACAGACGTGCGGAGACAACAACCAGAGGATTAAACAAACGCTTATTAGAGAAGCCAAGAGATGTGATGTACTCATCATATGGACTGATTGTGACCGCGAAGGAGAAAACATTGGTTTCGAAGTAATAACTGTTTGCCGATCGGCTAATCCAAGATTAAACATATTTAGAGCCCATTTCTCGGAGATTACAGTTGAGGCCATCAATCGTGCCTTTAATAATCTGATTCGACCAAACAAGAAGTTAGCCGATGCTGTCGACGTTCGCCAGAAACTCGATCTTCGATTGGGCGCCGCTTTTACCAGATTTTTGACTCTTGAATTGCAGAAACTTAGACCTGAATTAAGGGATACAAAACACGTTGTGAGTTACGGCTCGTGTCAGTTCCCGACACTCGGTTTTGTTGTCGACCGACATAAACAACGAGAAAACTTTGTTCCGCAAAAGTTTTGGTCGTTAGAAGTTAACTACAAGAAGAATGGTTTTAATGCAAAGTTTCACTGGAAAAGGGTTCGACTATTTTGTGAACTGAGTTGTTTGGCCATAATGTCGAAAGTGATGGACAATTTTGAAGCCATTGTTACTAACATTCAAACCAAGCGACGCACTAAATGGCGACCTCAACCCTTGGATACCGTAACGTTTGAGAGGTCTGTTTCGTCTAAACTCAAGATTAATGCTAAGAAAGCGATGGCAATCGCGGAAAAGCTTTACACCAATGGATTTATTAGTTATCCGAGAACTGAGACAAACAAATTTCCTCCGGAACTGAATTTAGTGAATTACACACAACTCCAGATTGACAGTCCTATTTGGGGTCAGTTCGCACAAAGAATTCTTAATAATGGTCCGAATCCACGCAATGGTAATAAGTCGGATAATGCTCATCCACCCATACATCCAACCAAATATGCACCCAATTTGACCGGTGATGACAAACGTGTTTATGAACTAATTGTACGCCATTTTCTTGCCTGTCTTGACAAAGATGCCGTTGGCTTTGAAACAACAATTGATATTTGTGTTAATGAAGAGATATTTTCATTAAGTGGTTTAAGAATTGAAGAGAAAAACTATTTAGAAATTTATATTTACGACAAATGGAGTGACAAAGAGATCCCACAATTTAGTCAAAACGAACGCTTTATTCCCGATTCAATTGAAGTGACCGACGGACAGACGACAGCACCTGAACTACTAACTGAATCACAATTGATAGCATTGATGGAAAAGCATGGCATCGGTACCGATGCCACACATGCCGAACATATCGAGAAAGTTAAGGAACGGAAATATATCACTGAAACACCCGATAGACGCCTTAAACCTGAAGGATTAGGAATCGGATTAGTTGATGGATATGACGAAATTGGTTATCAAATGTCAAAACCACATCTGAGATCGGCTCTTGAGAAGGATCTACAGGCCATTTGTGATGGACTCAAAAATCCCGAAATTGTTCTCAACAATCAAATCATTGAATATGAAAAAGTATTTAAGGAATCACTTAAACATAAAAACAGATTATTTGATGCCGTTGTCAGAAAATTATGACATTTTTGTTAGTAATATATGAGTTATTGATTATCAATTTTAACTAAAGTTGTTTTTATATTTATTTCAATACTGAATATCGGTATTTAATTTTATAAATTGAAAGGTTGTTTTTTTTGTTACAATTGACATTGTGTTTTATGATCACTACGCAAATGTAAATATATATATAAATTTATTTAAGATGAAATTTTAAATTATTATTATTTATTGCTTTTATTAACAACAAAAATAAGTTGTTTAAAACTTTTTTAGTTTAACTTATCCAATGAATTATGAGTAATACCGGTACATGAATTCATTTGAGACATTTTATTTTAAAAGTATAGCGCATTGTATAAATTTTTTTAATTTAAATATGTTTTTTATTTTTTTAAAGTTAAAAACACGTTTAGTATTTGATAATTCAATCGATTCATTAATAATAATATTGAAGAAGTGTTTTGTTATTCACGCCTTTATAAGCAATAAAATTGAATAAATTATTGGTTATAAAAGTTTTACTCAAATTAATTGTTTTTTCCAAAAATAAATTTGTTTTAAAGGGCTTTATATAACAATAAATCTTTTATTTAATTTGAAGCTTAGAGTCGATTGATTTGAAAGATAATAAAAGAGTAAAAATACGTCAATTCTTAAGAAATTTATTTAACAAAAATAAGTTATAATTCGGTCGTAAATAGAGTTATAACTTGTTTTTGATGTGCAATTCAGTGATCAATAAATTGATTACATGTAAGCAAATCTCTATTTGAGTAAATAATTTGAATCTCCAGTAAAAAAGGATGAAAAATAATAAGAAAAGTCCACAAAAATTGTTAAATCCTTTATGTCTTGTAATTCAACCTTTTTATGAATAAAGCGACACTTTTTATGATTTTACTTTATTTTCATCGACAAACTGGTGATAATTGTGAGTTCATGTATCGGTCTCTCTCTCTCTCTCTCTCTCTCTCTCTCTCTCTTTCTTTCTCTCTCTTTCAATGGTTTTGTACCAATCAATAGCAGAACACCTGAATTGCCTAAAGGCATGTATAAGTGACAGTATTGAATATTGAGTTGACTTTGTATACATTATAAGATAGTGTTAAGTATTTATTGATTTGAAAAGATTTGGTGACCAAAAATGCTTAACATTTATCATATTATAGTATATGTCATCAAATGTTTGTCAAATATTGTATATTATACTGTGTATGATATACTCTACCGGTATAAGTTAAGTTTTAAGTTACTTAAAATATAAGAGTGTTATATATAGTTAGTAAATATATTATAAAATATAATATATTTTAATAATTTTAATTAAATTACACCAATGAAAAATTGATATATATATATATATATATATATATTAATATATATAACTTTATGTTAACTTTTTTTTATAATGTAATTAATTTCTGTTGAAATTTAGCGCAAATCTTATTTGTGGTTAAAATTAATGAGTTTCTCATTAGTTTTCTTTCACAAAAACAAGTGAATGTCAAATGAGAGATATCCTGATGTCTACACCGGAATAGCCATGACTTATGGACTCATGTCTTGGACTAAAGGAATGGCAATCTTATAGCTCTTGACTTTTGCATTGATAGAGTATTTTTGAATATGTGATACATTATAACAACGATTGGTTGTTGTGTTAAATAAAATAAAGTAGTGTTGAGTGAGTGCTGTATTTATCATATGTATAGTAAAAGTAGGAATTCCAGAGCTAACGGCCCCACGCAGTCTGCAAAAGTTGACTGCAATTGTATGACAGGACTGGTAGTGTTGGCTCAGGTGATTCACTGTTGGCACTTCACAGCGGGTAATATGACGGCTATAATCGGCTAACATTCCTGTTCTTTACAACACTTGACTGTTTGTAATGTGATCCGAGCGGTCACTGCTGTAACCAAATCTAAAGGACAGACACTCCTAAAAACTTCTTCATCTTCAAAGATCCAATGGTTTACTATAAAAAAATATCTCATAAATAATCATCTGTTTGGTTGTCAATTGTTTTTAGTAATTTTATATTAAGACAGAATTGCTATATTTGTTATATATATATAGTTAATAATAATAATAATAAAGTGTCGTCTATTGGGACTCCTTTTTATTTAGTACTGACTATTAAAAACAATGTTTAGTAGTATTACACTTATGATATGACATATAAGGCATAAAAGTGCTGTACATATCACCGACTAATAACAATTGATTATATAGATGGCTATGAATGACTAACTTTTCTATTTAATATGTTATATAGTTTGAGGCTAACCGGTCAACTGAAAGTAACTCATATAATACTATTGGTACTACTCGTGTATGATATGTATAAACTGTATAAATATCAATATATATATAATATAATATATATATTGTTGGTACTAGTGTTTGGAGCTCATGCATCAAATATGATGATCATAAAATCAAACCAATCGGGATAAAAGCTTTAAGTGGCGTACATACATATATACACATTATATACATAGAGTACATACACACTAACCAACTGTACTATTGTTTCATTGAATTAGTCAGGATTTGTAGCCCTTATATCTGTCCTATTGATGATCCGTTAGAAAGTGCCACTACTATCATAACAACTGATATTAAACAACGGCTACTCCACTAAACATCTATAATAATATAAATGACTTGAAATAAACAAAACTACAAATACTTTAGTTCTGTGTTTAACGTAATGTTGGCTTTTAATACAAGCATTTAATATAATAGTGCAAACATTTGAATGGAGAGTATATTTGAGTGAATGGTTAACAAATATAATATTCATTGAATACTATGAATGGCTTACAGCTCATAGAAGTGTAGGACTTGACTGACTCTGGTGTATGACTTTTTATAGCTAACAGAGTTAAGGAGAGTGAGAGGACTGGTATATTGCAATGCATAGTGGATGTCATATATATGCCGTACCGCCTAATAAAGATAGATGACATTCGCCAGCCCTTCACTAATGCCACGACCGCTGCGGACATTACAATTGGGCTCTATTTGAGACTTAATTCAATTATCTGCTAACTGTGCTAACAGTATAAACAGTGAACGCTATATAATTATCCGATGAGATGTTTGCAATTGTATGAAAAGAGCAGACAATTAATTTAGCGCTCGTCTCATCTCCTAATGGGACAGCTATAAGAGGCACAAGTAGTGTGAAAGCACTGGTAGTGTTACTATGGGTCACAACCTTAACGCCAACCAAAAAAGTAGTGACTGTCTATGTCTATGGATAATGCATTGGACATACTTTTTCTATTTATTTTGTTTATCACATTAGTCTACACTTAATCTAACCCTAATATCTATAGTAAAAGTTTAACGCAATTATAGACAATACTTTTAATTTATAACTTCATTTCAAGCAATTTATTTTGCATTCAAAGTCTCATAAGTGCAACAAAAATGCATTCACTGAAACACATCTGTATTTACTACAAATTATATAAAATACTATATAATATATATAATGTATATTACATTTAATCTATTATTACTTTATATATATATATCGGTACTATTATATACAGATTGCATATATATTTTTGGTGAACTAAACAGCAAAAAGAGTCAAATATTTCTTTGTTAGACTTTTATCAATAGTTGTCCAATAAATAGCACTCAACTATTTATTTGTGCTTTTTATCAAAAACGACTTACTCTACCATTTAGTATACAAAATGCTGGCAAAAGCGCCAAATATATTGTCATTCATTCACTATTGAAGAGATGTATTGTTGCCTTTTGAGTGTCCCATAAGTGTATACAATATTGTATTTTCTTTTGAATTTCTATCACTTTTAATCCTATATAGCACTGGTAGCTCATGGGTCTCATGTTAAATCCTAAATATTGATATACAATTGTTAAATCATTTTAAATCTTTCAACAATAAATATTTTTCAAATATTACAAAATATTATACTTTAATTTTCTTATTTTTTATACAACTATTTTAGTAAAATTCAATCTATTATATCATCATATTTAAATTATTGAGTTTTAAACAATAATAATAAAATTTGTATAATATTATAGTTAATATTTTAAACTACAATATTATAAAACTTTATAGTAAAAGACTAAATATTTTTTATTGTTTTTATGTTTTTATATATTAATATATAATGTATTTAAACAATATTCTGTGAATTTTTATTTTATTATATTATTAAGCATTAAATGTTATAAAATATAATGGAATTAAATTTATACAAATGATCTAAAATAAAATTAAATAAAACTTAAATATAGTATACGCTTATGTTAAACGCATTTTTAAAATTAAATATTTTGTAAATATTTTTCACTTTTTATATATTTGGGACAAATGCATAAAAGTTGAGTGAATTTAATAATGTAATATTATATTATAATGACTGCCAAACGTGCAATAAATTTTAATGCAATGGTTTTTTTTATTTTTTAATATTAATATATCAAATATATTTACTAATAGATGAATATATTCTAATAAAATATATTATAAATAGCTATTATAAAATTTTTTTATATGTTATTTATATATATTATATACATAATAGTAGACTTGGCAAAATATTCAATACTAATTTTTGTAACATTTACAGTAATTATTAAAATATACACAATATTTTGTTTTAAAGATAATCTACTTGAATTATAAATAAGTTTGTGAGTAAACGTATTTATAATATATTTTTGTTTTTTAAATCTTATAAAATGATAAAAATAAGACTTTTTATATTTAAGACAAAATACTGTACAATAGTTTAAATTTATGACACTTTTATATAATAATTGTCTTATAGAATAAATTTTTAATGATTGAGTATTACTGTATACTGTAGTAATCGATTTAATATATTTGATACAATACTGTATGTTTCATTGAAAATAAAACTCAGATTTTATTTATTTAATATTGTAATATAATTGTAATTTATATAATTATAATTATGAAATGTACAGTATTTGTTGTTAATATTAATAATCGTTTAAAAAAAATATTATTTAATATATCATGTACTGTATTAATGTGATATATATACAGTATTACTGTATAATATACAG